GCCGGACGCTTAACCGACTGCGCCACCCAGGCGCCCCCAAAAAAGACATTCTTAAAGAGAAGAAGAGAAAGGAGGTAAGTAATAAAGAAGACCCATTCAAACGCTTCATTTTTCTTTATATCTTTTACTCACAGACCTACTGAAGCATAATCTCTGGAACTCAAATATTTTTTAAAAAATGTTTATTTTGAGAGAAAGCATGCATGAGTGGGGGAGGGGCGGGGGGGAAGAGGGGGAGAGAGAGAGAGAAAGAAAGAGAGAGAATTATAAGCAGGCTCCGTGCTGCTAGCGCAGGGCTCAAACCTGTGAATCATGAGATCATGACCTAAGACAAAATCAAGAGTCAGACGCTTAACTGACTGAGCCACCCAGGTGCCCCTGGAACCCAAATATTTTTTAAATGTCTACACATCATTCTAATCAGAGCTGAGTCTGAGAACCAGCTGGTCACTCTGCCTCCAGCTTCTCTTTCTTCCAGTGTAGGATCTATATCAAAGCCATATTTCAAAAATGGAACTCTGTAACCCCATGTTCACTGTACATGTAGTCAAGATGTGGAAACAACGTAAGTGTCCATCAATGGATGAAAGCATTAAAAAATGTAGCATATATAAACAATGGAATATTATATTACTCAGCCATAAATAAATAAGGATGAAATCTTGCCATTTGTGCAAATATGGGTGGACTTTGAAGGCATTATACAAGTCAAAAAAGTCAGAGAGAGAAAGACAAATACCACATGATCTCACTTCTATGTGGAGTAAAGCAAAACATAACAAAATAAAACAAAAGCAACCAAGCTCATAGATGAAGTGACTGGATTGTTAGTTGCCGGAGGCAGGGGGTGGGTGATGGATGAAATGGGGAAGGGGGTTCAAAGATACAAATTTCTAGTTATAAAATAAATTCTGTCATTGAGAGGTACTGTATAGCATGCAGTATGATGATGACTATCATTAATAACACTGTATTGAAGATTTGAAAGTTGTTAAGAGAGTAAATCTGAAAAGTTCTCATTACAAGAAAAAAATTTGTAACTATGTATGGTGACAGATGTTAATTAGACTTACTGTATACATCTTTTTACAATATATACATATATCAAATCATTACATTGCAATTATGGGTCAATTATACTTCAATTAAAAATAATAAAAAATAGTACTTCAAAAGAGCACCTAACTTCCTGTCAGTAATTTAATGCCTTATTACTTGAAACCAAAATATGGAAAATTCTTATGTTTCTCTTCTGTGTTAGGTCAGACTAGAAAATAATCAAGAGTTTTTAAAGAAATGAACTAGAACTTGTCTACTATGTACACAGGATTTTATCTACTTTATCATCTATAGGTTAAAAAAAAAAAGAACTCTAGCCATTTCGTTCCTCTTAATGGTATCTCATTACTAACAAGTAAATCTATACCCCTTTGTGTATGGCACAAAAAGCCACACAAAAGCTTACTAGCCTCACATCTGCTATACTGCATTCCAATTTCCTACATTGCTCAACGTTCTCAACACACCAGGTTTTTGTGATCTAAATTTTAATTTATATTGCTATTAAAGTAGTATCTATTATACTATGTGGCATTTATTACTTACATTTGTTTTTCACACTGGTCTTTAAGTTCTTGGGAATAGAAGCCATATAGCAAAAATAATTAATTAATAAATTCTATTTACAAGACCTCTGATAATAATAAAAGAAAATGGATATTTGGCAGAAATGGATTTAGTAGAAAAGGACAATGACTACCCAGAAGTCCAAAATTTAAGCTAGGCTTAAATTTTCTCGGAAATGACCCCAAGATAGCAAATTCAAAGTAAGTCTTTTGAATTTTTTTTGAAAAAATAATTTCATCTTCTATAAGAGCATTTTTATGAATATCGGAAGTGGCTCAATACTACCTCTAGGACATGTAAAATGACAATTCATGCGTAACTATAAGAATAAAAAGCAATAAAATTTACTAACAGATAAAAGCAAATTTCCTTCACTAATAAAAATAGCTTTGGAATCTTAAGAATTTTAACATTACTATCATTTACATGGACAAATAAAATGTACCAGGTTGTTGTAACTTAAGATTTATGTAAAGTTTATTACAAAGGTAACAGAAAACATGTATAAAACATTTTACAGTTTAATTTGTGAAATTTATCAAGTATGGATAAAATATGTTGACATTTTCAAAATGTTGGTATTTGTTAAAAATCAAGGAATTTCAAGGTGGGTAAAATATTATCTGGCTTTCTGAAGTTTATAAGAACTACACTTAAAAGAACTGACGAAACTTTACAAACATAGAGGTGGGCAGAGACATAAAAGGCAAATGTTGGGTGTCTGGGTGGCTCAGTCAGTTAAGCGACCGACTTCAGCTCAGGTCACGATCTTGTGGTCCGTGAGTTCGAGCCCCATGTTGGGTTCTGTGCTGACCACTCAGACCCTGGAGCCTGCTTCAGATTCTGTGTCTCCCTCTCTTTATGTCCCTCCCCTTCTGGTGCGCTCTCAAAAATAAATAAACATTAAAAAAAAAAGGAAAATGTTAAAAGTAGGAACGGTAGTATTAAAACAAAGAATTCAGGTGCAAAGTATTAGACTGGACAAAGGTAGAAGAATTTTACATTGAAAAAATGTAAAGACACTACTGAAATACATAAACTCTTTAAATAAAAACTAACTGAAAATATATAATCAATAGAGAGGTCAAATAGGTAAATTAAAGTAGGAAACAAAAGACTTGAATAATACAACTAATAAGCTTGATTTAATAAATATATGTAACTTGTAGCCCCCAAACCAGAGAATAACCTTTTTTTTTTTAAATTTTAAAATGTTTATTCATTTTTTGAGAGAGAGGCAGAGAGTAAGCAGGGGAAGGGCAGAGAGAGGGAGACACAGAATTTGAAGCAGGCTCCAGGCTCTGAGCTGTTGGCAGAGCCCAATGTGAGGCTCAAACTCACAAACTGCAAGATCATGACCTGAGCCGAAGTCGGAAGATTAACTGTGCTACCCAGGTGCCCCAAGGGAATGATCATCCTTTTAAAAAAATCCAAAGACTATTTGAAAATTGGTTCTAGATATATATATTTATAAAAATTGGTTTCAAAGAAAAAATGTCATTAAAATTCAAAAAGCTGAAACCAAAATGTTGATCCTCTAAACTTTAGACAAGATAAACCTAATGACACTCACAGCAGCAATAGAAGGCTTCTTCCCATCACCAGCTGGTGGATGAGTGACATCTGCTCCCAAAAAGATCACGGGTTGCTGGAACACAGAAGGTCTTAAACACATTTTTTAAAAGAGTTAGATAATTCATTTTTTCATAATGCATTTATCTGTTCATACTACTGCCACACAAATACAAGTTGCTGACACAGCACAGAGGAGGTTTTACACAGACAGCTTCAAAGGCCTGAATTACTGTTTTATTCTCTTCATTCATGAATCCCTAACTCAATGAAGTAGAGCTATCACAATAGGTCTATCCAATGTCCTATTCAGAGCAATTTTCTGCCTTAAGCATTGGTGCTGGTGGTTGCAAAGGGCAGGCATTTTTCATAAGAGGCATAAAATGATAAACTGCCTCATATTAATCCCAGTCTGTATCAATCTTTCTGTAATCTATTTACATTTAAACTATGTAATCTCTCAAGGAGAAAAAGAATCATTAACCTTTTCAGAAAAGGATTACAGGAATCTACTACTCCCCTTCCTGTGGCCAAAAGTATAAATACTTAACAGTCATAAAGTAGTTGGTCAGTCATTTTATTTAAAAAACGATATCCTTGGGGCGCCTGGGTGGCGCAGTCGGTTAAGCGTCCGACTTCAGCCAGGTCACGATCTCGCGGTCCGTGAGTTCGAGCCCCGCGTCGGGCTCTGGGCTGATGGCTCGGAGCCTGGAGCCTGTTTCCGATTCTGTGTCTCCCTCTCTCTCTGCCCCTCCCCCGTTCATGCTCTGTCTCTCTCTGTCCCAAAAATAAACGTTGAAAAAAAAATTAAAAAAAAAAAAATAAATAAAAAATAAAAAACGATATCCTTTATGGGGTGCCTGGGTGGCTCAGTCAGTTAAGCATCTAATTCCTTATCTCGGCTCAGGTCATGATCTCATGGTTCATGAGACAGAGCCCCTCATAATGCTCTGTGCTGACAGTGCAGATCTTGCTTGGAATTCTCCCTCTCTCTCCAGCTTGTGTTCTCTTTCAAAAAAGATAAACATTAAAGAAAACCAACAATTATATCCTTTAAGATTCAAATGATTGTCTCTTAGTTGGTGGACTTGATAGAATTCTATACCCATCTCATTTATGATTCTCATCTATTTAACAGACAGCATGGAAAAACAGAAAACAAAAAGGGCTTTTGTGCCAAACACACATGGGTCTATCCTTATTCTAATGGTTATCTGTGGTGCATTCTAGTCAAGATATTTTTTTAAAGCCTCAGTTGCTTCAACTATTAAAAGGAAACCTGTTGTTCAATTCTCAGTCTCTTGCCCAGCACCTGTTTCTAGGTCATTATGTCATTCTTCCTAAGAGCTCTTAGACATGAGAACAATTTGACAGTAACATCTGTTGTCCCACTGAAGGTAGCAGAGGTTGACAAGGCTCACTTAAATGATTCACTTAACTGACATGCCCCACCCAAGACCCTCCATTCTTCCCTTCCCCAGATTAAAGAGGACTATCAAATAACGAGAAAATTCTTCAAGTTGAGCTCTCCAGTGAGAAATACGTAAAGTTCTCAAATACTTTCTAGCTGGGAAAGAGGTTATTTGTATATACTAAATAAAAATGGAGTTGAAAGGGGATTTTTCACAAGGGAATCTCTTAATCTTGCCTTAAATTTTTTTGCTAAAATGTCTACTTATCTCCCATGGCAGGAATCATCAAAAATGTCTCTTACACTGATTTTAGATATAGTGATATATAGAAAAATTAAGATGAAAAGTAATTAACATTTAATTAAGTGATTAGCTTATCTTACCTTTGATGAGGTACAAGAATATTATTGATCCCTCCGAGTTTAACATTTATCTTTAGGCACAAGTTTGAGAGAGTTTGAGGGGATGTTTTTATTACATTCTTGACTTGGACACACTGCGTAGCCATACCCAAAAGTGTATCTCCTACACGTTTCACTTCCGCTATGGAACAAATACAAATACCTCCAGTTAGAAAAAAGGTCAAGCTTCACTGAAAACTAAGCTACTATATTTCCCCCCTTGAAATACATCACTGGATTACAGGACTCTAAAAATTATAACAATACTAAAACAATGCTGTTATAATTTAAAGTATACTGCCTTGAAGATTAGCTTAAATATTTAGTGATAATTTTCCCATTTGTTTTCTTCTTTATGTAAGAAAGTATATTTTTGTCATCATAAAAATAATATAACCATAATAACTGAAAATCCAGAAAGAAAAATATCACACATAATCCCTTGTTAGCATTTTATTGTACTTTCTTCCAGTGATTTTCTCATTTATATTATTTTAATGCAGTTATACTCATAGTATAGTTATAGCATTCAATCTTATTTTGCAACTTTTAACTTAAAATTAGTCTTTACAGTGTATGGGGCACCTTGGTGGCTTAGTTGGTTAATTAAGACTTTTGGTCTTGGCTCAGGTTATGATCTCACGGTTCGTGAGTTCAAGCCTTGAGTCAGGCTCTGTGCTGCCAGAGCCCACTTAGGATTCTCTCTGTCTCTCTTTTTGTACCTGCCCCCCCCCCCCAACTCTCCCATGTATGCTCCTTCTCTCAAAATAAATAAACATTTAAAAAATAAAATAAAAAGTCTTTACAATGTAAAGAATAAAAGGTCCCTGTAACTTTCCTTCTCTTTGTCATTATGACAACCATAAAGAGTTCAGTATACATATCTTCTTTTTTATAAAACACATAGAAAACGTTTCTTTTCAATGTTTATTTTGAGAGAGAGAGAGAAAGAGAGCAGGGCAGAGACAGAGAAGGAGAGAGAATCCAAAGAGGGCCCTGAGCTGTCAGCACAGATCCCGATGCAAGGCTTGAAATCACCAATCGTGAGATCATGACCAGAGCCGAAATCAAGGGCCAGATGCTTAACCAACTGAGCCACTCAGGTGACCCACACATGGAATGAATGAATGAATGAATGAATGAATAAATAAATAAATAAATTTTAAAAGCAAACCTGCATTCTACTTTGCAAACTGGCATTTTCATTTAATAATGTAGTATATTCTGAATCTTAATATATAAATTGCTATTATTTGTAATAATAACAGTCTGTTTTTAAATGTCATAAAGAATCTAATCAGTCATACACAGATATGTTTATAGCTTGTTCCAGGTTCTCATTATTTCAAACAAAGCTACACAAATAATATCCCTGTACATTTATTTTTGTTTGGTTATGTAACTACAGCTTCAGGATACATTTCTACAAATAGAATTGAGGGGTCAGAGGTATATATATTTAACATTTTTGTAGATACTGATAAATTGCTCTCCAAAAAGGTTTATTCATTCACTCAACAAATATTTAATGTGCACCTAATACATGCTAGTACTGTGTGAGGCTCTAAATACACAATGTCTTTGAAGATGTACAAACGGCTAATAGTCACATTAAAAGATGCTCCACATCACTAATTATTAGGGAAATGCAAATCAAAACCACAACACGATACCACTTCATACCCATTAGGAGGTTATTACCAAAAAGGAAAAAAAAAAAAAAAAAAAAAAAAAAAAAAAAAAAAAAAAAAGAAAAGAAAATGACAAGTATTGCTGGGATATGGAAAAACTGGAACCCTTGTGCGCTACTGGTAGGAATGCAAAATGGTGCAGCTGCTATAAAAGAAGCAAATACAGTAGACTTGAACAGCATCATTAAATAACTGCAGTTAAAAGACATTTATAAAATACTTCACTTAATAACAGCAAGAATATACATTCTTCTCAAACTTATACAACATTCAGTGAGACAGACCTCATTCTGGTCCAAAAACATAACTTAGCAAATTTAAAAGAACAGAAATCATACTAAATATGGTCTCAGACCACAGTGGAATTAAACTAGAATTCAGTAACAGAAAGATAGCTGGGAAATCCCAAAATATGTGTATATTACATTAAAAGTATACAGACTAGGAAGGAAGAAATAAAACTGTTTGTTCACAGGATACATGACTGTCTTGGTAGAAAATCCCAAAGAATGAAAGAAACACTTCCTGGAACTAATAAGTGACTATAGTAGGGTTGCATGATACAAAGTAAATATACAAAAGTCACCTGCTTTCCTAAATGCCAAAAATGAACAACTGAAATTGAAAATGAAAAACACAATTACCATTCACATTAGTATCAAAAGAAAAAAAAAGATACACTTGGGTATAAATCTAACAAAATGTGTACAGGATCTATACAAAATTGTAAAATTCTGATAAAAAGTCAAAGAGGCTCTAAACAGAGAGACGGTACGTCTTCAAGGATGGGAAAACTTAACATTCTTAAGATGTCGATTCTTTCCAGCCTGGTTAATAGACTCAATGTAATCCTAATAAAAATCTCAGCAAATTATTTTGTGGATATTGCAAACAGATTCTAAAGGTTATACAGAGAGGCAAAAGATTTAGAATAGCTAACACAATAGTGAAGAAGAACAAAGTCAGAGAACTGACACTACCTGACATTAAGACTTACATTAGTATCAAGACTGTGATGTTAGCAAATAAATAGACATATAGACCAATGGAACAAAATAAAAAGCCCAGAAATAGACACACAAATATAGTTAATCAATCTTTGACAAAGTAGCAAAGGCAACTTAATGGAGAAAGATAGTCCTTCCACCAAATAGAACTGGAAGAACTGGATAGTGACATGCAAAAAAACTGAATCTAGTAACAGACAGTACATCTTTCATGGGAAGTAACTCAAAATGAGTTATAAACCTATATATATATATAAAAACTATAAAGCTACTAGAAAGTAACATAGAAGAAATCTCATGTAACCCTGGGCTTGGTAACAGGTTCTAATTTTTTTTCTTTTTTTTTTTTTTTTACTTTTTATTTATTTTTGAGAGAGACAGAGACAGAATGCGAGTGGGTTGGGGCAGAGAGAGAGAGACACACACACACAGAATCTGAAGCTGGCTCCAGGCTCTGAGCTGTCAGCACAAAGCCCAACACGGAGCTTGTATTCATGAGCTATGAGATCAAAGCTGAGCTGAAGTCAGACGCTCATCTGAGCCACCCAGGTGGCCTTGCAACAAGCTCTAATTATAACCCCGAAAACATGATCTGTGAAAGAAAAATTAATGAGTTGGACTTTATTAACATTAGAGACTTTTAGTCTTTATTAACATTAGAAACTCTTTTTTTAAATGTTTATTTTTGAGACAGAGAGAGCGTGAGTGCGAGCATGAGCAGGGAAAGGGCAGAAAGGGGGAGACAGAGGATCTGAAATGGGCTCCATGTTGACAGCCCGATGTGGGGCTTGAACTCATGAACTGTGAGATCATGACTGGAGCCGAAGTTAGACCCTTAATCAACAGAGCCACCCAGGCACCCCTAGAAACTGTTAAGAGGATGAAAAGACAGGCCAAACTGGAAGAAAATAAATGCAAAATACATATATGATAAAGAACTTGAAACCAAAATATACAAGAACTCTTAGAACTGAAAAATAACAACTTAAAAGTGGGTGAAAGGCTGGAATAGACACGTCACTAAAGAAGATATATAGATGCTCAACGTCACTCTTCATCAGGGAAATCAAAACCACAAATCAAAACCACACTGAGATACCACCTCATGCCAAGTCAGAGTGGCTAAAATGAACAAATCAGGAGACTATAGATGCTGGCAAGGATGTGGAGAAATGGGAACCCTCTTGCACTGTTCGTGGGAATGCAAACTGATGCAGCCACTTTGGAAAACAGTGTGGAGGTTCCTCAAAAAATTAAAAATAGATCTACCCTATGATCCAGCAATAGCACTGCTAGGAATTTACCCAAGGGATACAGGAGTGCTGATGCATAGGGACACTTGTAGCAGCACTTTCAACAATAGCCAAATTACGGAAAGAGCCTAAATGTCCATCAACTGATGAATGGATAAAGAAATTGTGGTTTATATACACAATGGAATACTATGTGGCAATGTGAAAGAATGAAATATGGCTTTTTGTAGGAAGATGGATGGAACTGGAGAGTGTTATGCTAAGTGAAATGAGTCATACAGAGACAGATACCATATGTTTTCACTCTTACGTGGATCCTGAGAAACTTAACATAGAAGACCATGGGGGAGGGGAAGGAAAAAAAAAAGTTAGAGAGGGAGGGATCCAAACCATAAGAGACTCTTAAAAACTGAGAATAAACTGAGGGTTGATGGGGGGTGGGAGGGAGGGGGAAGTGGGTGATGGGCACTGAGGAGGGCACCTGTTGGGATGAGCACTGGGTGTTGTATGGAAACAAATTTGACAATAAATTCATATTAAAAAAAAGAAGAAGATATGTAGATGGCAAGTAAGCACATGAAAAGATTCTCAACATTATGTGTCACTAAGGAATTGAAAATTAAAACAACAGTAAGATACACTACAAATTTATTAGAATGGCTAAAATATTTAAAAATTGACAATACTGGGGCGCCTGGGTGGTGCAGTCGGTTAAGCGTCCGACTTCAGCCAGGTCACGATCTCGCGGTCCGTGAGTTCGAGCCCCGCGTCGGGCTCTGGGCTGATGGCTCAGAGCCTGGAGCCTGTTTCCGATTCTGTGTCTCCCTCTCTCTCTGCCCCTCCCCCGTTCATGCTCTGTCTCTCTCTGTCCCAAAAATAAATAAACGTTGAAAAAAAAAAAAATTAAAAAAAAAAATTGACAATACTAAATACTGAAGAGGATGTAGTACACAATAGGAACTTTTATTCGTTGCTGTGCGAATACAAAATGGTACAGCCATTTTTAAAAAGTTTATTCAGGGGTGCCTGGATGGCTCAGTCGGTTAAGCGTCCGACTTCAGCTCAGGTCATGATCTCACTGTCCGTGAGTTCGAGCCCCGCATTGGGCTCTGTGCTGACAGCTCGGAGCCTGGAGCCTGCTTCCGATTCTGTGTCTCCCTCTCTCTCTGACCCTCCCCCATTCATGCTCTG